TGAAAAATCTATAAAAAGCAGATAGAAGAACTAAAAAAGAATTTAATACAGGTGCCAATACTCCCAGACGACACCCAGAGTACAAAAGTGATGTTTATAATGATGACCCTGAATTATTGAGAAAGGCTAACTATGGACAGGGCATTTTTTTCCTAAGACATTCTGTAAGATATCTTACAGGACATGTGTAACACATTTCAGTAGGCTTTCCACTATAATAAGGAGAAAAAACGATAAACAATGTTGGCATGTGAACATAGAAAGTTCAGTGTCTGAACCAGTTTCATGGACACATATCGTTCTTTGAGTTCAGATAAATTAGGCATCCCTAAAATGAGAATTTTTAAGCACCAACTTTAAAAAAGGGATAGTTTTACACTTGCTTGGAGTTTTCAATGTGGAATCACTGAACAAGTGCAAGAAACCTAATTTTAAGACAATGTCCATTTGTCCAACTCCTAAAAGCATATTTTTATAGTGCATGCTGCACATAGATTCTAGTATAAATCCCACTGTCCTCACAGAAAATATGTGATAATTTCCCGTGTCAGCTCCCTATTAAATTCTGTGCAAAACTGGAACCTTCATTGAACTTCAGCATGCACTGTATGATGATTTTGAACTTCATTAAAACAACACAAAACAATGAATGTGCCTAAATATATTGATCTGAGGGGCCAACAGATTTTGTTTTAATGAAACACATTAGATTGCAATCTGAAGTAAAATACTATTGTCATAATAGTACAGCCGCCTTTTGGCATTCTAATGGTCTTAATTCAAATAGTCTTAATTCATTCACGAGGGCTCTGTTCATTCTTTAAAGTAAAAGGTCTTTGTCTGCCCAGCCATGCCTTCCTAGAACCTCAATTGCCAATCACCTCCCACCAAGAAGTTCAGAATTGACCTGTGACATAGAAACAGGCTGAGGCTTCTTTTACATACATTGAACAAATCTCAGGTGATGGACGGGCAGTCACCGAAGTTTTGGCCTGCATCACCAGCTGCAGAGAACTAAATGAAAAATAGTTTTCACAATGATAGGAACTAAATACTTTAAATAGCTATCGAATTATAGTTTCTAGTGCCTTAAAAATATGCTTAGCTCTTCTTGGTGGGGGGGGGGGGAGGCCACTTATCATTTCATTATAAAGTTTGCTGAGAGATAAATGTATGTAAACTTGATTGGTGTAATACTGTATGTAAGAAGGACTGTTGACTCAAGATTCGTATTTGTCTTAAATTGAAAAATCCCACATACTATAAAGAAACTTGGCTAAAATTTCACCATTGCAGGTATATATACATTTGGACTAAACTAACCCTAGAATATCTGGTCCAACCCTAAGGTTTTTTTATTATATGAAAGTTATACAAATGCCAGAACATTTTATCATCCTGGATTTCTGATTTTTATTTCATCTGTTCCTGTAGGTTATTCATGACATTTCATGAATACTGCCCAAATTCAGTTTATTTGGTTCAAGATGCATACAGCTGGTCGGTTTGCTGACAAGGGGATACAACGTCTCTGGCCCCTGATGCTGGCTCCAGGTAAGTGTGTGACTTTGGGAGATAACTGCTATCTCTGGGCTTCATTTCCCTCCTATTATAAAATGCAGGGGGCTGGACAAACTCATCTCTGAGGTTCCTTCTGGCTCCACTTTCTATGACTTGCAGTTCTGCTGTCATAAAGTCAGCAGAGGGAGCACTCTTTCTACCTCTCATAAATTTTGACTATTATTTCAACACCTTTCAAAAATCAAGGGGTTGGTAAAGAACATTATTGAAACTAAAAATTGACAACCCGTCACACAGTTGGTATCAGATCACAAATTTGATTTTAAATTGAGAAAAATCTAGAAATGACTTGTTATTTGAATTCCATGATGAAGTCCCACAAGAGAATTAGTTTTTAAAGGTTAAGGAGCTCACATACACTGAGGAACGCAGCACCCCTAAGTGGTAGCATATTTATACAGGTCCCAGTGAAAGGGAAACAGACCAGATCTTTACAACAGCGGCTATCTGCTGTCAAAGATGAGAAGTGAAAAATTCACCAATCACAAAAACATTAGCGAGTTGGGTCTAACATAAACAAACCACACAAGTTATTGGTAGTTGTTTCTTTTGCACTTTTCATTACGATACATTGGGAACAAGCAGGTAAACACAGCCAGAGCCTGTAGGCTCGCAAGAGATTGGAAACGTGTGATATCATGCCAATGACAAAGTTGTATATTTGAGGAACAGGATGACTTTCACCCCTGTATTCATAGACATTTTAAAATTAATCGAGCATCCATTATATCTTTTTAATTATTAGACAATCTCATATTGCATATTAAAGTTTTTATTCCTTGGTAAGAATTTTAAGATCACAAAATAGTGTGGCAATATTTACGTAATAGAATTTATGGAGTGCTGAAAATACTAGAATATCAAGGTAACTCGTAGTTTATCTTCACATACTAGATTTTTCTAAACCAGATGGTTTCTTGCAGACAGTATTTATTTTTTTTTAAAATAATTTAAGACAGCATAAGCTTGTACCAAGCATAAGCATTGTAACAAAAGTGCAACTTTTCAGCAAATCCTCCCCAAAAGATATTTTAACTCAAAATATCATTAGCACATATTTTCTCCCTACAAAAATAGCATGTCAGACATCATTAATTGAATATATTAACAACTATGTACATAAGAGCCACCTTGTAGGCTAAGAGTTTAACGTTGTTTAAACACAGCGTTTGAGGCAAACAGTAGCAACAGCAGCAGCAAATGCACCAAACTGACTAAAAGACCCAGATATTTTCTTCACTCATAGTCAGACTGTTGTGTCTCACCCCTTACATAACATTCAAGTGAGATTTCTCACAGTGCTACCTTGGCAACAAACTAAAAATATCTAGACAAGGTCTTGGTTTAAGCCTTATTAAAAAAGCTTCCTTTGTGATTATCTGGTATCTGGTTTGGTCTCCAGAAAATACATAGACTTGGAGAGAGGAAGGCCTCACAGGACTTCATTCAAATCTTGACAGCATTTCCAATGAAAACTGACTAGTTTAATGCTTTCCTCCACTTCTGTGATCTAACAGAATATAGGACAAAGCATTTTGGACTTTTCTTTTTTTGTTTTGTTTGTATGTTTTAAGATTCAGTGCACATTCTTTTTTTTTTTACAGCAAGATTATAAAAATTTAGGAACAGGATGGATTAAATAATGCAGGGTGGGAATAGATGCTCTCTCTCTCTCTATGTAAGTATTTATATAATGAAGATGAGTCTATTGATTCATGGTCAGTTTCTTAAAGTGCCAGCCAATGTACTAAGAATGATTCTGGCCTTCCTCACCCATGCACTTCCCTGACTTAGTTCTGACAATGGCCCAACTCTGCGTCCTTTTAAACTAGTGCAAGTTACTAAGGGATACCATTCAAACCACTTCAGAATAGGTTGCGACGTGTGCAACTGCATCCTCTCCTCTTCCTCTTCGAAAAATAACGTCTTTTAATAAAAAGCTAAACATTACAAAATACTGAAGAGTAAACTCAACTCTGAAAGACCATTCTGTTTGCGGAAAGCCTCCTGCAGCAGCCAGGACAGCTTTGAGTCACTGACAGATAACTCTGCGGTTCCACGTCAGCTCCTTGGCCACGTCCCCCCACCCCCTGCCCCCCCTTCCCACCCTGGTTCAATTGGCTCACCACCGAGCAAACTCTTCTGACTTCCTAGAGAATCAGGGTATTTTAAAAGATAATGAAACAGGCCTAAGGGAAGGCAAAACTTATTTGGGGGAGTTCTTTAAAAAAAAAAAAAGCGCAGAGGTTCTTTTACAGCTGGTGGCGAAGAGATGTTAGTGTGTAGAGGGTGGGGTGCTGAAAGATGAGCAAAAACAGGAACTCCAAATGTACACAAAACACCTGCTTGTTTTTAAAGCCTGGCGTGCATCTATCACACTTCCTCCCTTTACAATGCTAAGGGTGTTTTAACGTATTAATAGGATTATTCCGCGTGAACCTCCGTCCTTTCTAGGAAAGGAGCGCCAGGACTCAGGGGGCTTTCTTTCCCGGCTGCGAGGGATCTTCCTGA